GTGTGATTTTTTTGAGAGAAAAGGTATATTTAATGAGGAAAAATGGACAGTAGAGCGGGACTTTTATCCATCAGGAATCACTTAGATCATAAACTGGGCATTCTGTAATATGAGTTTGATCAAACAATGCTATAGCTATTTGGCTATTGGGTCACTTCTAATGACCTGTGTGGCCTAAGGGGTCAGTGGAAAGGGAAAACTGTCTTTTTTATTATTTTATACTGTTGTCTGAGGTCCACTTATGACGTTTGTGTGGTTTTTACATCCAAAAACATCAAAATCAACAAGTAATAGGCTGTTTTCTACCCTGGTTTTGAGGCCGGCTCGAGAAACACACAGTTTTTATGGGCATGCCGCACTGAAGACTTGGAAGTAAACGCCCACTGCTGTGATTGGATAACAGTTTTGCGTAGTAAACTAAAAACTAACTTTAGTAAACTAATTAACTTTTTTTGGTTAAACACGTACACATAATCAGAACAAAGCAATGTGTGACACATAGTACAAATATTTTTTTGCTCACATAAGTGTGCTGCGATCTTTTTGCGATCTTTAATGGCATGTTTATTGCTTGGTTGCTCAATTCGGTTTAGCTCCACACTTATGTTATTTCCCTACTATGTCATGCGTGAATCAGTGGGCGGGACTACAGAATTAAGAGGCGGTGTTTAACCTATCTATTACGTCATAGGTAGGCACATTCAGTATTTATTTCAGTAACAAGGATGTTTTCAGTTCTGAAACATACTAGATATTCTTTTACTACGATGATCTCTTATATGTGACCCTGGACCACAAAACCAGGCAATAGCCAAAAATACATTGTATGGGTCAAAATTATTGATTTTTCTTTTATGCTAAAAATCATTAGGACATTAAGTAACGATCATGTTCCATGAAGATATTTTGTAAATTTCCTACTGTAAATATATCAAAACTTAATTTTTGATTAGTAATATGCATTGCTAAGAACTTAATTTGGACCAATTTAAAGGCGATTTTCTCAATATTTTGATTTTTTTGCACCCTCAGATCCCAGATTTTTAGTCAGATAGTTGTATCTCGGCCAAATATTGTCATATCCTAACAAACTTTACATCATTCGAAAGCTTATTTATTCAGCTTTCAGATGATGCATAAATCTCAATTTCACCAAATTGACCCTTATGACTGGTTTTGTGGTCCATGGTCACATATATCAAAAGCTCAAGTAAAAGTAGATTTCTCAATTCATGACCCCTTTAAAACAAATCCACATTCATATTCACGTGTGGTGTGGTGATTATGCATTTAATGCGTAATCAGTGTGTGGCTCAGCCTGTGTTTTCATCTTCTGTGGACCCAGACATATTCCAGATGAAATAGACTGGGCGAATATGGGCACACAGTGGGCTCTGTAGAGCTAGACTTGCTTGATTGGCAAGAATGAATGGAAGCGAGTGACAGCCTACCACTGAGTTCAGTTAGGCGTGTTACAGGGGTTGTTTTTCAAGTTTTTGCCACACAAAAGGATTCTCAGTGGAGCTGAAATAATGGGCTGAAAATTTCAAGAATGTCTAAAGCGAATTGAAGGAAAAAGTGCTGCAAGTTATAGAAACTACTTTGCTCAGATTAGCAGTACTAAACCAGATTTCATTTCATTTCATTTCAGTCAGTCAGTCAGCCAGCTAATGAGCATGTTACATGATTTAAAAAAGAAAGAAAGAACGAAAGAAAAAGAAACATGAAAATGCATTTGAGAATATTGAAATTAAATGAAATTTAAAGAGTGATTTATCACTCTTGCCAGGCAAAGAGATTTAAAGCTGAACTAGAACATGTACTGTACAAGGAACAGTATACAAATTATTCTTTGTTGACTTTTTAAAGAGCTTCTGTCAGTAATTTTCATCTGTTGAGCTTTGAAAATGTTGTATATTTTTGGGTCAGTAAAGTCAAAGTGGGACCTCATTTTTGGATCAGTAAATTGTTTGAATGTTTTTGAAATATGTATTTTATGCTCATCAAGGCTGCATTTATTTGATCAAAAAAAAGAAAGAAAGAAAATAAACAGTATTTTCTAAAATATATATATATATAAACTTTGATATTTGAATATTTTTTAAAATGACATTTATTACTGTGATGGCAGATCAGAATTTTCAGCATCATTACGCCAGTCTTCAGTGTCACATGATCCTTCAGAAATAATTTTAATATGCTGATTTGCTGCTCAAGAAACATTTCTTATTATTATCAATGTTGAAAATAGTTGTTCTGCTTAATAATTTTTGGGGAAAATGGGATACATTTGTTTTTCAGGATTCTTTGATTATTAGAAATTTCAAAAGAACAGCATTTATTTTAAATATAATTTTTTGTAACATTATAAATGTCTTTTACATTATAATCACTATAACTGTCACTTTTGATCAATTAAAAAAAATACTGACCCCAAACTTTTGAACAGTAATGCACAATATTGTATTCCAATAAAAATAGCAAAGAAAACTGCTTTTGTAGCCAAAATGCTGCTCCTCTGAAATGACAGACTTCACTTTGTTATTTACACACACACAGACTTCTCTATTGGTTTAGTTTCCTTTGGGGCCGTCAGACCCCTACCCCAAGCCCACCCATAGCTTGCACCTCGATTAGGAGACTGTAGTGTACCCTCTTAGACTTTTGACATCTGCTGTGTGTACTCATAAAGACAGACAGGAGCACAAACAGGGTAATGCTTTTCCAGCTCTCTCCTCTTAATGGAGACATACTACCAGAATAACTGCCACACACTCTCTCTATATTTCTTTCTTGTCTCTAGCACTCTGGTCTATCCCTGAGAATAAAAAAGTGAAAGATGTGCTTCAACTTGCGTCTAACTGCTTTCTATTTTCCCACCAGGTTCCCCGAAGTCTTTGAGCCGTAAGAGCTACAAGTACTTCTGTCATCAAGGGGATGTAACGCCACAGTCAAGTTTTCACTTAATCCTCTCACAGGTAAACGGTGGGACATTTTGCTGGAGGAATTTTGCACTCAAAGAGTTTTTAAACAGAATGTGAATAAGGTATCACTGGTAGAGCTTGCTAGAGAATGAAGCACCTGGAATTGGTCTCTGCCTTTTTTGTTGGAACAATGGCAGCATTAAATCGTAGACTCAGGTTTTTTTTCCACTAACCTGGAAGGAGGGCAACATGGCAAAGCCCTTCTACAGGCTTCAGCACTTCTTGCGACGGACTCAGCTGCTCTTCTTGTTCCTCGGTGTCGCATATATTATGGCTGGAAGTGTCCTTCTTCTGCAGAGACATGGATTGGTGGTGTCACAGCGTGGGACGAGCAGTTACTTTCCATTGCCGTCTTTGCCATCTCCTCCCAGGGCCCTGGAGGCACCTGCCTTCAAGACAAGTTATGGAATAATGGGCGCTCGGGTCACCAGAAAGGGGGTGGGATACCAAACCATTTTATCCGAAGACAATGCTGGACCACAATGGCTGATCTCACGAAACCAGGAGATCCGATATCTGAGACGCCGCTGGTTCCACAGCCTTATGTCCGAACAGGAAGCATCCAGAGTGGAGAAAGTTCTTCCGAAAAGAAAAATCCGACACAAAGGTGAAACTCAGTGCTAAATGAGCTGTGTGCTTTTCAGAATGACAAATTGGTTGTTTATGATAATTGGTTTATTCTCTCAATTATCTCGATTCCAAGCTGTGCTGCAGAATATTCCCATCTGTTTGCACAGAAAAAGGTCACGTTCTGAATTTCTGATGCAATTGTTATTCTCTGCTCAGGCACATACATCGGCTGCTTTCTGGATGACGCCAAAGACCGGACGCTAAAAGGGATGGTGTTTTATGACTTCCGGAAAATGACCAGCACCTTGTGTCAGGACACCTGCATGGAAAGGTATGCGATTAATACACAGTATACTCAAATACACACAGCTTTTGTTTTAATTACGGAACCTCCGAAAAGCAGATGGACATCTGTTGCCTGGAGGCTCCTCTGTGCTCATCTTAAATCAAGAAATAATGAAACAGTGTTTAGGGAAAAAGCATGCGGTGTGCATCCCTGTGCCAGCTGGCGGAGCTCATACTGGGAATTGGATCAGGCCCAATTAATGAAGCGCAGCTCTGGACCTGGACTCCGATAATGCTGGAGGAGGAACATCTATCTGCCGTGATGCAGTATACACTTTCTCAAGTTCTTAGGCCGACAGATAATTGACCACCAGAGAACAAGTGTGAGGCAGACTGACCTCCTGTAATTACCCCCAATTTTTCAGAGTTTATTTAATTACTTGGGTGACATTTGCAATGTTCAGGGGGAATCTAAATAGTCCATTAGAAAACATGAAACCTAACATGCACCAGAGATGACTTAGTCACTTCCTATGATAAAGAAAATAATTTAATAAACAGTGTTGACAACTTTAATGCAATATTATGTTCTTGCAACTAGATAGATGGTCTGTATAAATTGTACAATGATCAAACAAACAAACAAACAAACTTGAAAAATAATTTTTTTTGTTATTATTTCAGTGCAAGCAGGTGCCAGAAATGTTTAAAAAATATATTGTTCATCAGCCTCAGAATAAGTATCATTTAATATAGAATTTTTATAAAAAAAATATATTTCAATCATGACAACTCTCGAAACATTTTAGCATGG